GAAAAAAACAAGCGATAGCACACCTTGACAGTAATTTACATAAGTGGTATCTGCAACGTGCAGCAGAATGTGAAGGTCAAGTATGGCACAAAAGATGAACTCTTTGTCAGTACCGTCGATGGGTTGCTTAAGCTTTTATCAGCACACCTTCTGATATGAAAGGCTTCTACTACTTCCCGAGTCAGCTTGTCTTTGTGAAAAACAAAACGTTCGTGTCACACCAAACAGGATAACATTGGCAGATTCTGCAATGCTCGGCTATGTGGGAGTGATCGCTATTCTCCAAGGATTTCATATGGTCATTAAGCCGAGTGTTAATGCACCAGTCAGTCTGACATATATAGTTAAATATGACAATTTGTAGACTTCCGGTAGCAGTCAATCGCCGTGTTATGTGCCCGAAGGCATGAGCTGACTTCATGCCCTTTTCTTTCTTGCAATTTTAAATAAAATCTCTTGTATTAGATATTCAATTCGATATTTTTGGTCACTATTCGGTACAATCCCATTAATTCGATTCGAGGTGAAATTTCACTATTCGCACATCCCTGGTTTTACCCGAAGCAAATGCAATATTGCATACACAAGGTGGTGAAAGATGAAGCTGAACGGCAATCCATTGCACCCATGATAACACACACGGAGTGTGTAGCTTTAGAACTCACAATGAGTCCATTCATTGTCGTTGTTTTATTGTTCTACCGGAGAGACTCAGCATCTAACACAAAACTTTTACACGGTATTGTGATAACGTGTTCTGTCCTGCATAGGCTTAACTAAAGCATCTTATGGGCTTTTTGGACAAACTTCATTTTGTCTAACGTACAAAGAGTGTAAAAAAAGCATACGTGAACGATCTCTGAAGATGGTCCTAAAACAATGTCGAAGGCGATTCATTACCACCCGACGGACAATTCTCGCGACTGTGTTTTCGTAAACTCAATTGGTGGCTTGACAGAGGAGTTAAAACTTCTGTTGTGGCTAGTCAGAGTGACAATACTCTATTTGAGTGGGGATATTCGCACATAGTGAATGAAACAAACTTGTTTGGCTGGACTCTTTTTGCTTCTTTTGTGCGAAACACTAGCAAAATAAAGCAAATGAAGTAAAAGGAGAAAGCCGGACCTAATTTTCGTTCCTCTTACGAAGAAACCGGCTAAGCAAGGCTTCGAAAGAAAAAAAAAACTCGATGTCGACAACAATGCAACAATGCAGTCCATAACTGAGTGCGCAACCAGGCTAGCTGGACGGCAGCTGAACCGCGAGTCTTGCAAGCACGATGTGACCATTCACGTTGAAAATAACTAACAGGCTTTCTCAAGGGAAAATAATTAAGGAGTGCCTCTCGTACGTTCGCGCACCCAGCGTGAAAATGTAGCGTCTTTGTTGACATCGGGTGGTGTCAAGTTTGTTAGTCGTCAATAGGCCTTAAATGCTATAACCGCCTTAGCTCTCAAAACGGATTGGTTTAAAAGGCTGGCGAGAACTGGCACGCACTCGTCGCATGCATGCATCATCGTTGTCCTCGGAGCTATTCAAAGGTCGGGGAACCAACATAAAGTAACAATTCAGTTGAATGTCTTTTGCACGTTTATTCGGCAGCTCAAGTGACCTTCCGCATACATTATCACCACGATGGACTGTAAGTGAGCAACAGGCCATGAGAAAGGACATAGAGCTAATGATAACTTTTTTTCATTATATACATAAATTACCAACCAGAAAGGAGTGGTGATTCGGGGATCCAAGTCGCAAAGCTGCTAGTCCACGAATCCTTCTTTATATCCGCTAGCGAAGCTCGTTTTAATTGGTCCGACATCATGATTGGCTTGCATCTGCTTTCACGTTCCGATCGAGTGTAAAAACTTCGGACCAGGTGAGCTGAAAAGCGACAACTAAACTCATCCATATTGGTGATACGAGATAGCAGACAGCAGCGCAGTCATCTAGGGAATTCGCATAGAAGCGGGGCGAGACATGTATGCTTTGTTTTTCATTCATATTTGAGAGGCTTTTTTTTTGTGGGAGGGGGGGGGCGAATTCACGACGGTATTTAGCTCAAACAAGGCTTTATTGGTTCATACGTACCGTAAGTCTTTCTCTGTAACAGTTATAAGAAGTTTCTAATAATTTAATAATTTATTTTTACTATTTTAAAGGAAAGCTGAGAGTATGTGTGCCAACAAAGCCTTATTAGAGCTAGTTTCGGTTACGGATTTGGCTCACTAAAAAAAAAAGACTCCCCATTTGGCAACGCCATGTACCGAAATGCGAAAATGCTATCAGTACGCGAAACGTTAACCTGCTGACAGTCATACGCACATTTTGGGGCCAGCATTCACAATGTACAAGAATAAAAGCAGCTGCCAGTCAGGTGGGATCAGGTGGCCACAATAGCGCAAGTAGACAGCCGGCCAGTAGCAGCTTTACCAGCGAAAAGCTTCGTCAACTCCGCTGTGCAAAGGCAATACAATACAAAGCAAGTGCTGAGATGATTACACTATTTGTGTCATGCCTAAGGCATGTTTTTGTTTCTCATTTTTTGTTCACTCTGAGAGTAGACAGATCTTGAGCTGCGGAATAGCGGCATTGAAATGCGCATACGTAAAAGCTATACATTACAAAGTATTCTTCAGATTTGGTGATGCTGCTTTTGCATGGTTCACATAGCGTAAATTTAATGTGGCGGCAGTTACGGACGCCCATTCCGAACTGAATACAGCGTTGCTGCAAGGATGATTTGCTTTGTTCGCGGCAAATGAGTGTGAAATGGTGGCGCTTAGGCAGCTTCGACAACAGGGTATTGTGGAGGAAGCGCAGCTTTTCAGGTCGTTTTTCACTTCGAATGCTTCTGGTACCTCTTCTTCAATGCGCTAGGACTACCAAGAAAATCAGTGTGGACAATGCTGCAACATAGGATTTCGCTGCTAGTGCGTGGTTCATATTGATTTAATGTATATTACTCTCAAAATGTTCACATATTCCCCACAACGCACATCACAAGAGCTCTGATGCCGTTGTGTGTTTTTAGTGTTTTGTTTTATTGGCCCTGAGCTTTTGAGAAAAGCCAACTAACTCGCCTAAAGCCGTTTTACTAAAGCTGACTGCTGTCTGTTGTCCTGCAGTGCACAGCTGAAGCAGTAAAACTCGTTTCTAACAAGATTCATTGAAACCTTTTCAAGGAACACTCATGTCGTTTTCATGGACAAGAACAGCCGTATGTTTTCGGAGTCACACTGCTAAGCTCAAGGCTGCGGGTCCGATTCTTGGCCGCGGCGACCGCATTTCATTAGGGGGGGGGGGGGGGGAGGACATAGAAAGAACACCCGGGTACTTAAATTTCGGGGAACATGGAGGAACCCCAAACATTCAAAATTAGTTTAGAGTTCCAAGCTTTAATCACGTCGCGATGTCGGTACGAAAAGCCCGAGAAATTCATGTTCTTGGCAGCCCTAGATCTGATGAGGCTCTATCTCGTAATAGCTTCATAAGAAGTCAATGTTAGGTGGGCTAACAATAAAAATCTTATAACATAATGATGATAGCTAAGGTTTTTCGCGCCAAAACGACCACGTGGTTATAAAGCACGCCGTAGTGAAGGGATCCTCAAATGTCGATCATCCAGTGTTCTTCAAAGTGTACTGATATCGCACAGCATGGGCCTCTATAAATTTCCCTCCATTGAAAGGCGTCTGCTGCGGCCGAGATCTGGCCCGTGACTTTCGGTTCAGCAGCCAATCAATGAAATAAAGGAATAAAAGGTAAATTGTGAGTACCTTCACACAATCTGCCTCCAGATTTCTTCTTAAGCAGAAGCTTTTCTTGCCAAGCATTCGTGTCAAGACGTCGGCTTTCACTGGCAATGTTAAACTTGCTGATTACAGCAAACGTTGCTGATTACAGGAATGTTACATTTATACGTAAGGCATAACATTAAGGTCATCATCTGCCAAACATGGGGATGTCAATGACGTCTCATGAGAACAAACATCCTTATAAAACTAAAAAAAACGCTCAGCTTAGCTCTGTTAGTGCACATATAACGTCTGAAAATGCAAGAAAACTGCGTTCTGTCACGTTTCACAAGAGGACGGTATATAAAAAATGAAAAACTCGCACCTAATTTGTATACATAGTGTTTCGGTTTTCATTTTTACTTCATTTTACTATTATGCAATTCAATGGGTCAACTGCAGCAGTTCGTTCAGCAAGCTCACTAAGCGTACTGATAACGTGGAAGTCCAACAGTTAACGAATAACTATCACCGGTGACTTAATTACATAAACATGTCAGTGCTCCAAGCGATAGTGCATCAAACGCTCGACTTATGTCGAGCGTTTGGTGCACTATCGTAACTACGAGTTTTACGTAACTGCACACTGTTAATAAAAAGTTAGACGACTTCAACGATCCTTTCGTCAGTATCTGCGACTCCTTAACTGCCCGTTCTCGCCTTTAACTACACTCCTACAGCAACACAATTAATGACGGTTTAGATGGAGCATCTCTATTTTTCGAAGACCATAAGGAATCCTGGTTCATAGGGATGATTTACCCGCCTCGGTGGTCCAGTGGTTATGATGCTCAACTGAATGCACACGTGCAGATCGCGGGATCTAATCCCGGCTACGGCAGCCACATTTTCGATGAAGGCTGAAATGTTCGAGGTTCATGCAATTAGATTTAGGTGCAGTTTAAAGAACCCAAACTGGTCGAAACTTCTGGAGCCCTCCGCTAAGGCATCCTGAATATTTTCGATGAAGGCTGAAATGCTATAGGTCCGTGTACTTAGGTTTAGGTGCGCTTTCAACAACGGCAACTGGTCGAAATTTGTGGAGCCCTCTGCTAAAGCTACCTTAATAATCATGACCAGGTTTAGAAACAGCAACTCTCTCCTCCCCCCCCCCCCCTTCAAAATTATTGAAGTAATAATATATATGTTCTTTCTATCTCTCCCAAGGAAACCACCGAGAACCCATTCTACCCTCCACTTCGCAAAATGCCGCTAGAGCCTCGCATTCCTCAAGCCGACGACTACCCGAGAAGCCACGACGACGATGATTCGTCAGCGTCGGAGAGAAAGCGACCCGGACGGCATCGTAACAATGACGACCACCCGAGTCGGGAAAGCATGCGCGGCAGGCATGCCAGAAAAGGAGGCGCGCATCACGACGACGGCTACAATGAACGCGGCCGAAACAGTGGAGATGAGCGAAACCGAAACAGCGCAGATGAACGCCACAGAAACAGTGCAGAGGAGCGCGACAGGAATGGTGCAGAGGAGCGCGACAAGAACAGTGGAGAAAAGCACAACAGGAACAGTGGAGAGGAGCACAACAGGAATATTGGAGAGGAGCACAACAGGAAGCTTGGAGAGGAGCACAACAGGAACATTGGAGAGGAGCACAACAGGAACATTGGCGAAGAGCACATCAGGAACATTGGAGAGGAGCACAACAGGAACATTGGCGAAGAGCCCATCAGGAACATTGGAGAGGAGCACAACAGGAACATTGGCGAAGAGCACATCAGGAACCGTGGTGAGGAGCGCGACAGAAGCAGTGACGAGGAGCGCGACAGAAGCAGTGACGAGGAGCACGACAGAAGCAGTGTAGAAGGCAACGTCCGCAAGGGTGGCTTCAAGGGAGGCCGCAGAGAAGGGCGCCGCCATCGGCCCCACAGCTGGGGCGCCAGAAGGATCGACCAGGACAAGAACGACGGCTATCCTGCTGACCCTAACTACGGGTTCCTGGAGGACTCAGAGCCTGAAGGAATGGACGAACGCAAGAAAAAGCTGAGCGAGCTGCTCTGAATTACGTCGGACTTTTTTTACACCTACCTACTTGCTTTTTGTGTCTTCTTTTTTTTGTCATGTAGCCATGTACATAACTTCTCTTGAGAGAACATTAAAAGTGCAGTTCCGGAGTTTTTTTGCCAAAGTCGCTCTATAGGTGCGCGTAATTGTAGTTATCCTTTGTTTGAGGCCTACACAGCACGAACCATGCTTGGCTATCTGTTGGCCAAGTTCGACTGCATACAGCTTTTTAAATAAGTTGGTAAGTACAAATGTTGGTGAAAGCAGGCGCTACACGTTTGTGATACTGTTAGCTACAGTGCCCGTTTGATTAAGAGAGATCTTGTGGCCGCATCCCTTACTGTTTTTTGTTTAAGAGTAGTTCAGCCAATCCAGATACTGGCCGTATCGGGGCACTGCCTCCCTTTGCCATGTGATGAGATCTCTATTAGGAGCGAGCTGTGGAGTGTGCACGCGTGCCCTCACCATGTTCCCTATTCCTATTTCTAGTACATTTAGATCCCTTCTGCACTTCCGTCACAGTGGGAATTCGATCAAACCTTTGCGTTCACAGACTTCCTTTTCTAATGGAGGCTCATTTAGTGAAGAGAACGCATGAGAAGTGAGCCTGGAGATCATGCTTCAATTTACCGCTCCTCACAGGAGTAGTACAAAACAAGTGAAACAAGAATAGAGAGAGATAAAAACAAGGATGTAGAGATGTAGAAAATGGGATACTATACTAGTCCAATGATAATGTACGCACGCTGTCTATCGCATTCATTAAGACGCACTAGGGGCAGGAATCATCCCATCTCATACTGGACAGTCTTATTCACCTCTAAAATTCTGTATCACTTACAATCTTCTTCTTCTTCTTCTTCTTCTTCTTCTTCTTCTTCTTCTTCTTCTTCTTCTTCTTCTGTTTTGTTTTGTTTTGTTTCTCTGGGAGGTTGGCTCATACCCACTCAGGGGGATTGGCCAAGATTGTGTAGTGCAGTTTTTCTGTGATCATTTTAACTATGTGCAATGAATTGGTATTATAATAAGACTAATGAAAAAATAAAAACAACATAAAAAGAGCAAACGGAAAAAAAAAAATCAAGTTGAGCAATTTTGAGATTTGAGGTGTTATGTTTACCACTCAGCTGCGTTTACTTCACTCTGCCCTTGAGAGTAATAAATATTTTCTTCTTCTTCTTCTTCTTCTTCTCCTCTTCTTCTCTTCTTCTCTTCTTCTTCTTCTTCTTTCTTCTTCTTCTTCTTCTTCTCTTCTTCTCTTTCTCTTCTCTCTTCTCTCTTCTTCTTCTCTCTTCTCTTCTCTCTTCTCTCTTCTTCTTTCTCTCTCTTCTCTCTCTCTTCTTCCTTCTTCTTCTTCTTCTCTCTTCTTCTCTCTTCTTCTCTTCTCTTCTCTTCTTCTCTTCTCTTCTCTCCTTCTCTCTTCTTCTCTTCTTCTCTCTCTCTCTTCTCTCTCTCCTCTCTTCTCTTCTCTTCTTCTTCTTCTTCTTCTTCTCTTCTCTCTTCTTCTTCTTCTCTCTTCTTCTTCTTCTCTTCTTCGTCTTCTTCTTCTCTTTTCTTCTTCTCTTCTTCTTCTCTTCTTTCTCTCTTCTCTCTCTTTCTCTCTCTCTTTCTCTCTCTCTTCTCTTCTTCTCTTCTTCTTCTCTTCTTCTTCTTCTCTTCTCTTCTCTTCTCTCTTTCTCTTCTCTCTCTTCTCTCTCTCTTTCTTCTCTTCTCTTCTTCTTCTCTTCTTCTTCTCCTTCTCTCTCTCTCTCTTCTTCTCTTCTTCTTCTTCTCTTCTTCTCTCTTCTTCTCTTCTCCTCTCTCTCTTCTTCTTCTTCTCTTCTCTTCTCTCTTCTCTCTTCTCTCTTCTTCTCTCTCTCTCTTCTTCTCTTCTCTCTCTTCTTCTCTCTCTCTTCTCTTCTTCTCCTCTTCTTCTTCTCTCTTCTTCTCTCTTCTTCTTCTTCTCTTCTCTCTTCTTCTCTTCTTCTCTCTCTCTCTTTCTTCTTCTTCTTCTCTCTCTCTTCTTCCTCTTCTCTTCTTCTTTCTCTCTCTTCTCTCTTCTTCTTCTCTCTTCTTCTTCTCTTCTTCTTCTCTCTTCTCTCTCTTCTTCTTCTTCTTCTCTTCTTCTTCTCTCTTCTTCTTCTCTTCTTCTCCTTCTTCTCTCTCTTCTTCTTCTTCTCTTCTTTCTTCTTCTTCTTCTTCTCTCTTCTCTTCTTCTCTCTCTTCTTCTCTCTCTCTCCTTCTTCTTCTCTTCTCGTCTTCTTCGTCTTCTTCTTCGTCTCGTCTTCTTCTTTCTTCGTCCTTCTTCTTCTTCTTCTTCGTCTTCTTCTTCTTCCTTTCTCTTCTTCTTTTCTTCTCTCTCGTCTTCTTTTCTTTCTTCTTTCTTCTCTCTTCTTCCTCTCTTTCTCTTCCCTTCTTCTCTTCTCCTTCTTCATTCTCTCTTTCCTTCTCCGCTCCTTCTTTCTTCCTTCCCCTTTCTCTCTCTTTCTTCTCCTTTCTTCTTCTTCTTCTTCTTCCTTCTTCTTCGTCCTTCTCCTCTTCCTTCTCTTTCCTTCTTCCTTCTCTCTTCTTCTCTCCTCTTCTCCTTTCTTCTCCTTCTATCTTCTCTCCCTTTTCTCTCCTTCTTCTCCTCCTTTCTCTCCTCTTCTCTCCTCCTTCTTCCTCCTCCTTTCCTCCTCCTTTCTTCTCCTCCTTCTCTCATCCTCCTCCTCTTCTCCTCCTTCTCCTCCTCCTGCTCCTCCTTCTCCCCTCCTTCTCCTCCTTCTCCTTCCTTCCTTCTCCTCCTTCTCCTCCTCTTCTCCTTCTTCCTCTCCTTCCCTTCTTCTTTCTTCTCCTCTCCTTCTCCTTCTCCTTCTTCTTCTTCCTTTCTCCTTCTTCCTTCTCCTTCTTCTTCTCCTTCTTCTTTCCTTTCCTTTCTTCCTTCTCCTCTTCTTATCCTTCTTTCTTCTTCTTCTTCGTCTTCTTCTTTCTTCTTCTTCTTCTTCTTCTCTTCTTCTTCTTCTTCTCTTCTTCTTCTTCTTCTTCTCTGCTTCTTCTTTTCTTCTTTCTTCTTCTTCTTTTCTTCTCTTCTTCGTTGCTTATACCCAATGCAGCGGATTGGGCCGAGTGTTAGGCGCATTTTCGCAATACTACTAGTATATGATAGGGATAGGTTTCCAAACTAGTAAGTACTGAATAATAATAATTAAACGTTTAAATGAATGAAGAATTTAGCTCTATATTCATTTAGTCTGACTGATAAATTCCTCTATTGCGTAGTAAACATCCCTGTGACTGTAGCCCAGCGTCGAGGCGCCGAATTATAGAACAACTGATTCGGATATTTCCAGACCCAAGTTTCGAGGAGGTGTGCTATGAATTTTCTTCTGAATGACGTATAGCGGCGGCAGGATAGAAAGTAATGACTGATTGTTTCCTCCTCCTTACAGAAGATACACAGAGGAGACAACGCTTGACATGCTCTGTGCATGTAAAAGCTAAGGGAGGTAACCCGGCAGCGAAGTTTGGTTATGGCCACTTCCATTATTCTCGACCACGATAAATCACTTTTCCAGGCTTTAAAACAGGTTGGACGTGGTCAACTTACCTGCCTTGAAACGATGATAGAAAAACCCAGATGTTTAATAAAGGATCAGGAGGCATAAAAAAGGCAATATGAATTATTGTTTTAGGTTTAGACCGGAATTTAGTACTCTTATTAATAAATTTTTGTGAATGAAGCAAATGAAAGACTGAAAACGTATAAAATTAAGAAGCCGCATTAGTATCCAAAGAAAAGAAGAAGACCGCGATAAGCGATGACGTCAAATAGAAAATAGAAAAATCTACACACTACTCAGCCTATTCCCTCAATTGGGCATTAGTCATCATCAGAAGTAATGAAGTCACATTTCCGGCGCAGTGGCGAACCAATAAATGCAATAGCGAGAAATGAGAACACTATGCGAAGTAACGTTAGCAGCTAACTCATTAATTTAAGATGTACCGTAACCCTACAAAATGCTGGCGTAAAAATAAGACTGCTGTAGCAGTAGGTCCCTATTTTCATTTCCTCCAACCTTCGCTTTTTCACGTAGTTTGCTGCCATGCATGAGCCCATTGATGGGCTCATGCGGTGGTAGTGGGCCGCACCATGGTCATCGGCAACCCGCAGGATCATTGAGAGCGGCTGCGAGCCACGTTCTCGACGCGCCCGGTCGCGTGCCTTCGAAGTGAACCGGCCCCTCGGACTCTGAGCCAAGGTGGGCCATGTAAACGACGCTATCGACCACCATCCGAGGAAGCCCGATTAGCAAGCCTGTTCCAGGTACCGTAGAATCGATTCATTATGGTCATTTTTCGCGGCACTTAATGTGCAATGCGTGCGCTTCATCAGAGTCTTGTGGTGGCTGTAAGGCTTAACGGCGTTAGCGTTTTCCGCGAGCGCCGGCTAACAGTACCAGCGCACGCTTAGTGCTAAAATGCGAGCGAGGCATCTGACGCGATTTTGAGTCCTCGCGGTCGCCGCCTCTGGTTTCGTTTGTTTTGTGTTCGCGCTGCTGTTGCAAACCTACTGAAACGAGCTTCAGGCGCGTGTCAAGCTGGAGAAAACGACGGACTTACTGGAGGCTGGTGTGCTTATGCAGTCGTTTTCGCCACTTATTAGCGAAATTAGGATAGGACGTCGAGTCAGGCAACTATATCCGAAGGGCAAGTCTCGAAAAGCACTTCAAAGGGATTTAATAACGAGTGCATCATAAACAAAGTCGGCAGTTGTGAGGCACGTTTGGAGCTGTTGATTGGTGGAATGGCTACTCCTAGTTCAATTTATTTTCATTGTATACGATTCATTGAGGCTATTTTAAAACGCGCACCAAGTTACCTTGGTAGGTCAGACATTTTATGATGTTTTGGCACGCTAATAGAATCATTAGCGCTGCAATCGAAAGTTATGCTTTAAACTGTACTCTCTTACAGTAAACACCATCAATTGGAGAAGAGATGGCTCACCAGTTCTGTCCACACATTCACTGGTGTAG